AGCAATAGGATAAATTATGCCAGCATCAAGCCATTTTAAAATCTCTTTTTTGACAACCTCCTTCATGACAGGATTGAGTCTTCTTTGAGGCTCAACGGATGTGAAACTTTTGTCTTCCAAAATAATTTTATGTTGACAAATGGTGGGACTTATCCCTTTGAGGTCAGCAATGGTCCATCCTATGGCCTTGGTATGAAGTTTCAACATGTCAACCAACTTTTCTTCTTGGTCAGCTTCTAATGATGATGAGATAATGACTGGCAACTTCCCTAAATCTCCTAAAAAGGCATATTTCAAATGTGATGGAAGTTGTTTTAACTCTAAATCTGGGGCAACATCTAAGGAAGGAACAAGAATCTTCCTATCCTCAGTTTCTAAAACTTCAAAAGCAGCAGATTCTTGTGGTGTTTCTATTTCCTCAAAATCTTCCTCTTCATCACTATCAGACTCAGATAAACCTAAGATTTCCCCCAAACTTTTCTCTTGACACCAGGTTTCTATCAGACTTAAAGCAGAACATTCTTCTCTTTCCTTTAGGTACCTAAGGGAATTAAAAACATTAAAAGTCACTTGTTGATCTTGGACTCTCATGGTTAATTCTCTCTTCTGTACGTCTATCAAGGTTCTACAAGTAGCTAGGAAAGGTCTCCCTAAAATGATGGGAATGTCTTTGTCGGCTTCAAAGTCTAGGATGATAAAATCAGCTGGRAAAATAAACTTATCAACCTGAACTAGGACATCCTCAATCTTTCCTCTGGGATAAGCTATGGACTTATCAGCTAACTGAAGAGTTACAGTTGTATGTCTTGCTTCACCTATGCCTAGGGTGTTGAAGACAGATAAAGGCATCAGGTTTTTGCTACCACCTAAGTCACATAGAGCTTTTCCTATCTCTTTTCCTCCAATTGAACAAAGGATTGTAAAACTTCCAGGATCTTTCATCTTAGGAGGAATTTTACTGGACAACAAAGCACTACAACCTTCAGTCAGAGCTACGGTCTCATATTCAGTCAACTTTTTCTTTTTACTTAAAATGTCTTTTAAAAACTTTGCATAACTTGGCATCTGCTCAATAGCTTCAACCAAGGGTATGTTTATGTGCATCTGTTTAAAAACATCAAGAAACTTTTTAAATTGTAATTCTTCCTTTTGATTCCTTAACCTTTGGGGATAAGGAATATAAGGAGTGACTGCAATAGGAGACGTAGTCTTTTGAAGAGTTGGTGCTGGAATCGGTTTCAAAATTGGTCTCACAATTGGTTCTGATTCAGCTTTATCAGGGATTGTAGGATTGGTCTGGTCTTTTATTGCGGGACTGTCACCAGATTGTGACACATCCATTACAACACTTTCTTTGGGAGTCTGAATTGTCTTGGGTTCATCAGAAAACAACAGTGGAAAATCTGGTCTTTCTGGAATGGCTGTACACTTTTCTTTTCAATCTCTGCTTTGTTTGGTTCTTTTTGTGTATTTTCTAAATAACTCTTTCCACTCCTTAAAGTAACAACCTTAACATACTCTTTTCCTTCCCTCTGAGTTATCTCTGTGTCACTAGGTAGAGAACCTACTGGTCTTTTTCTAATCTCCAAACCCATTTGTTCCATTTGAGTTTCGAGATTTTTAATTGAAGCTTGAGTTTGGGTTATAAAACCCTTCATCATTGCATCCAAAGAAGTAGATGACTCAGCTTGCTGTTTGGGCTTGCTTTGGAAAGAAGACTGATGATTCTGAAAATTAGCATGTTGATTATTATGATTGCCTTGATGCGCTTGCGAGTGAAAATTAGATTGGCCTTGTTGCTGAAAATTGGACTGTCCTTGCAGTTGAAAATTGGACTGTCCTTGCGGTTGAAAATTGGACTATCCTTGTGGCTTTTGCATTGGTGGATTAAGAGCTGGACTATGCCACGAAAAATTTGGATGATTTCGCCATCCCGGATTATAAGTCTGTGAAAATGGTCCAGTCTTGTTGACATAATTTACATGCTCAGGATTTCCAGGACAATGCTCAAAATAGTGACCTTCACCACAGTACACGCATTGTACAGTTTGAACATTGGAATTAAAGGCATTAGCATCAGATTGCACATGTGTGCTAGATGTTAAATTTGAAATTAGCTTAGTGATCTGAGCTGTTAATGCCGAGACAGCATCTACCTCATTTATTCCAGCTGTTTTCTTCAGTGGCATTGCACGTGGGTCAGACCATTGTCCGTTATTGTTAGAAATCTTTTCAAGTATGTAAAAACCTTCATTATAGGTACAAACTGTGAAAGCTCCGCCTGCAGTAGCATCAAGCATTTGTCTAGCAACGATATTTAAACTGTTGTAAAATGTCTCTAGCTGTATACAATACGGAATGCCATGGTGAGGGCATTTTCTCTGCAACTCTTTATACCTTTCCCATGCATCAGGAACTGCTTCATCATCTAGTTGTCTAAAAGTACATATTTCATTTCTGGATTTGGCATTCCTCGTGGGTGGAAAATACTTTTTCAAAAACTTTTCTGCCATTTCATTCCATGTAGTCACAGAGTCTGGTAGCAAAGAATTGTACCATGCTCTTGCTCGATCCCTTAGTGAAAATGGAAAAAGTTTTAGTCTCAGAGCATCTTTTGAAACATCAGGAATGAGAAAAGAGTCTATGATTTCCATAAAAGAACGCAGATGAGAATGAGGATCTTCAGAATATAAACCAGCGTATTGGCCGTTTGTTTGAAGCATTTGAAACATCAGTGGTTTTAGTGAAAAATGGGTGGCACCAATGGTAGGCTTACGTATTTATGTGTGCAATTGAGTTAAGTTAGGAATAACATACGCCATAATGCCACCATTTTTAGCATTTGCAAGACGAAAGATGTTTTGAGCCTCATCCTCATGTGGAATATGTGGTTCATTTCCAATTATACCTTCTCCGTCAATAATCACATTTTCAGCCATCGTTTCAGAGTTTAAAGCTCGAAGAGCTCTTGGCACTCTTCTTCGTTATCTGAAAGTTTGTTCAATATCCGGATCAAGTGGAAAAAATTCACCGTGCGACAGCCTTGGCTTACACGGTGCATTCACAAAAAGATGGTAGAAAAACTAACTTTTATAAACTTTACTTTTAAAAAGAAAAACTTCAGAGTGCTATCCCCGGCAGCGGCACCAAAAACTTGCTCGTCGGTTTATTCAACCTTAGATTTCAACACAAAAATAGAACTCGGCGCAAGTATACACCTTGAACTATTGTCGTCTCGTAACAAATAATAATGGTAAAGTACCGTATATCGTTCCCACAGAGATAACTTGTAAAGTTATTTCAAAAGTCCAGTTTATAAAAACTAGTTTCAAATGGCGAAACGAGGGATTTGATTTATCTAAAATTGGGAGGTTTGATTAACAACTAAAAAAATATCAATCTTAAAAAGAAGCACAGGGTGCAACAGTTGATTAAGACACTAAACAAATGATTCAGCAAAAAGGTGACATAGCATTCCTGTCATAATTATCWAAAATCAATAAATGATTTTATATAACTATGACAGTATCAACTATAGAGGCAGACGGCCTCCCAAGAGCACACACCGGTCAACGTGCTATCGATACGATATCATTTATGTTAGACGTCGTGAATCCTAGCACAACACAGTGTTACCATCCTACACCGTAGGAGCATAGCGCTTGTCAGACACTAAAGCTATTTATAGTCTTCTCCTATTACCTCAGGTTTTGAACGTCAATACATTTTTATACACAAAATTAGTTGTCAATTAATTTTAATGTAACCATCAAATGAAATATTAAGCACCTGAAACAAATAGCAGACTATAATGCTATAAGACACCTTTGTACTTTCATATCGGCTATGGTCTTAATTTTCCCGCTACACCTCAAGCTAAGGCTTTAGCCCATCATCGCTCGGTTTCTTCTCTCGAAGGATGTAAGGACTGAAAGATAAATAACTAATACGGAAAAGTAAATTGCAGAAAGTAAATTACAAGAAATGGAAATACTGGAATTCAAAGTACTGGAAAGTAAATGACTGAAATATAAATGACTGAAAGTAAATTGCTGGAAATTAAATTGCAGAAAAGTAAATTGCAGTAAAGTAAAATGCAGAAATGTAAAGACTGAAATATAAAAGACTGAAATATAAAAGACTGAAATGTAAAGTACTGAAATATAAAGACTGAAATGTAAAAGACTGAAATTAAATTATTAATAACTAAATATTATTAATTAATATTAAACTAAGACATGATGGAGATTGATATTTGATGGGATGAAGATGTGACAAATGAAAGCCTTGAAAATATGGGTTGACTTTGAAGAAAACTTGCAAGACAAGTTTCGTTACTAAGACCGAAAGGTTACTTACAAACTCTTAAAAACAGATTATTTAGTCTACGTAAATTAGTCTTGAGCCACAAAGGATGAAATCCAATGTAAAGCAACAGGAATCGACTAATTTGTAACTCGTAACAAAGGTAAGAAAACGTAACGTAACTTGGAAATAAAAACAGAAATGAGATGAAGATTAAATATGAGCACTTGAATTAAATTTTGAAAATGTAATCACAACTTCACTTCACTAAAGTGGTTCTTGGTTGGAAGCAAGAAAACCGAAATCATGAAACCGAAAGCAATAATCTAGAAAATATTTAACACAAAGATTTATTGGAAGGAAGCATCAAAAGTGTAAGAAAGTGTGTAAATTAGTAAATAAACCCAAGCCTTAAGCCTCTATTTATAGGCTAAGGGAGTTTGCTTAATGAGAGTCGCCTAATAAGACAAAAGGCTCTTCAAAAATGGGCTTTGACCGGGCCCAAGGTCGTTGACCACGCATCCATTAAGGAGCAGCCCAAGAATTCTCGACCCAAGCAAAAGTGCAGCTCACGGACAGGTATTACAGGATTCTACCACACCTAGTCCTATAGGACTGCTGTAGGATTTGCCCCAAAAATCATCAAAAACCTACATAAACAGGAGATTAACATTAGATATGTTATATTACTACTAATATATGAAAATGACATAAAAAGACTCAATTAAGACACTAATGGGCAAATAAAACAAAGGAAAATGGTTAAGAAAATGATGTAATAAGGTTAATAAATTAACACTTATCAGAGATGCTCTTAAATAAAATATTTTTCAAACTATACAACATATACCCTTTAACTCTACTCTCGACTTGGATTATATTTTCAGTAAAATCCACCATTTTACTTGTATTTTAAAATATATTCCTTAAAATGGAAATCGAAGAAGAATACTTACCTTTAGACACGTTTTATTATTTGGGATAAGAAAGTTTGTTACAGATAACCTTAATAGGTCTCGCACAGAATTTCCTGCCAAAGACACCTATGTAAAGGACATTTTTTGGCTCACTTAAAGGTGGAAACTAGCAAGGGGCGAGATCAAACACACATTTATATTGCCCCTATTACCTTAGATCGCCATAAGGCGAGAGCCAAGACCCCCCCCCTGCGGGGTTCGGGTCATCATCCCAAAGTTTTTGGAATTTATGAAAAGTTGAACTTAGTGAAAATTTCACTAAGGGCGCGTTTGATTTGCAGGAATTGGAGGGATTTGGATTTGAAATCCATTCCAATCCTGCGTTTAGTTTGTAGGAATGGTCGGATTTAAAATCCCAGGATTCATTTAAAATCCCACTAACACTGGATTTGAGAATCCTTTGAAAATACACGGGATTTTGAAATCCATTCCCGTGGGATTTCATTCTTGCCCGAATTCATCGCTGTCTCCTTCGTCTTGGCCCTTCATCACAGATTATATCGCCGTCTCCTCCGTCTCCGTTGCCACCGTCGTCGCCCTTCGTCTCCGTTGCTCACCGTCTCCCTTCGTCTCTGTTGCTCACTGTCGCCGTCGCCCTTCGTCTCCGTTGCCACCGCCGTCGCCGTTCGTCTCCGTTGCTCACCGTCGTCGTCGCCCTTCGTCTCCGTTGCTCATCGTCAACAGGTAAATCCTTTTCCCTTTTTCGATTTCTCTCTAAACTATGAACACATATTAGGTTAAATCCTTCAATTTTGACAGATTAGGTTGAATATACATGAACACAGATTAGGTTTAATCCTTCAATTTTGACAAATTAGGTTGAATATACATGAACACATATTAGGTTAAAAAAATTATACGAAGTATTAGAAACCAAATCCTACAAACCAAACAGAGGAATGGATTTCAAATCCAATCCAATCCAAATCCCATGGAATCCAAATCCCTCCTAGGAATCCAAATCCCTCAAAAACATTCCTGCAATCCAAACGCACCCTAAGTATATGTCTGGGTAGAGTAATTAGAGATTTCAAAATTACCTTGAAATTGATTAAGTCTAAAGTGTAGACCATAGATTCATAGATATGAACTTTGTATCCAGAATTTTGGTTTCCAGATTTAGAAAAATTAACTAAGTCCTTAATTCTATACCTAGGAGTGAGAGATCTGAACTTTCTATCCAGACTTAGGATGTTTTGCGTCCAAATTTATGGTTTGGAAAAATCACTATGGGGCCGTTTGCTAAATGCTTACCTGGTAAGTGTTAACTGTGTAATTTTCCTAACCTGATGAACATGACAAGGGCCAAATATCTTACCCGGTAAGAGCAATGATAAAGATGAAGTGTCTTACTCGGTAAGTGAGGGTGATGACTCTTACCCGGGTAAGCACTTACTGGGTAGATTGTTGCATACGATACCATTTTGATATACTACAATCT